CCTCAATCACTCTAGTCCCTCTCTTCTCTCAGACCGAAAATTTGTTATGCTCCTCCCTAATTTTCCAACTCTTTATCTGGAGGGTCCATTTCCAGTCCCTCTTCTAAGACCCCAACCCCAACAGTTTTAAAGTAGCTAGAGGGAAGTGTGGAATATGTTGTTGAGAACGAAACAACGCTGAGCAGAAAGGGCACTGAAGCGCTGCACCAGGGTGAGGAGAGACTAGCTGGGACTAGGCACTTCCTCGAGCTGGCAGTGACCGCTGTGAATAAAGCAGTCGGTAACTCAGACAACACGGCTGCCTTAGAGATTCGCCGTCTGGGGACCCAGGCCTGGGCGGGGGCGCCACATCTGCTACCCAGGCCTCGAGGAAGGGAGGTTCCTGTTCTCTGCGGGTACCAATGGGACACTTATTCCCTCCAAGGCTAGTGATTGTCCAAGAGGGCGGGTCGCCCTTCCCAATCTTTCTCATTTGAATACATGAAAATGCGAGTTGATTTTGGCAGGGCAACGCTAGCTCAGGGCCAGAGAGACGGTTTTGTCGCCTGCGGGCAAGGCTGGGTACCGAGCAGCTCCGGCTCCGACATCCGGCTGTGGGCCAGCTAGGCCCGCGCCCCAGGCCGCTCAGAAACCCTGCGGCAGCTCCAGGAGCAGTGAGGGGAAGGGCAAACCCAGGGATAAAAAATTGGGATTAAAATATTTCATTAGAATTTTTCCGACATCCGGCTGCGGCCGGGATCCTGAGATTTCTCCGCACGAAACTGCTGGACGAGGCCAGTTAGGTGGTCCCAGGGCCAGGGCCCCTACCTACTGAGGGTCGGACGCCTTGTGAGTTGTGAATTGATTTCTGATTAATAACATAATGATAGAAGGAAGGGCAGAGAAAGGAAGGTATGGGAAAACAACAACAACAACAAAGTAAAGGAAAAGAAGAGCGCCCGTGAAGGAACAGGAGCTCGGTGTTTCTCCTCTCCTGGCCCCCAGGTCTCAGGCTGCCGCGCCTCCCGCGTGGCGGGTGGGAGGCTGAAGGCAGGCGCTGGGGTCCGCCCTCTCGCGGCGCCTGGGCCCCTTGCCCGGCTCGGACACACACCTCGGTCAGCGGAGGCCAGTCATGCGCAAGTGCAAACAGTTGCTTTCAGCGTCCCAGGCCTTCCTCAGTCCTTAACCGACCCGGGTCCCGGTCCAGGTCCGCTTTGAAGCACGTGAAAGACAACAGGTCTTAGTTTCATAGCATCAGACCGGTTTAAGCTTCTTATCTGGGTGGCAGGTGGGGACCAGAGGAGGAGGAGCTCGGACCACCCTGCACCGAGGGTGGCTGGGCCCGCCACAGTCGAGACAGGGCCACAGCCCCCTGGAAGGAGGGAGGTCGGCGGAGATAAGGGACAGGCTAGGGAGAACCACAGAGGGAAGTCCTCGGGAGGCTCCAGAGGGCACCCCAGAGGCCCGCCGCCCCGGGTTCTGCTCTCTGCCCACCCCACAGTCCTGCTAAACGGGAAAGACCCCGGCGCCGCCACAGACAGCGGGCTGGGCCCAACGCCTGAGGAGCGAGCTGTTTCTCGCCGACGTCACCCTCTGCTTCTCCCTTGCCCCGGTGAAGATCTGCGGAAGGGGTCCCAGCCAGGTAATACTGGGAAAGGGAAGAGGAGGTGGCCTTCTTCGGCCGGCGAGTCTGGTAGCGCCCGCCGAATCTGGTAGCGCCCGCCGCCACAGCCAGACTGCGCCAGGAGCGGACCCCAAAGGCGGAGGAGGCGCAGCTTCCGGGAAGGGCGGAGCCGCTTCCTCCGCCCAAGGCCACCTGGACGACCCAGGCACCACCTTCCGACCGCTCCGGCTTCCTCTGCCGGAGGAGCCTGCCTCCCCTCTACCGCGGCCACCCTGGGCTCGCGTAGACCCATCCTAGCCAGGAGAGTTTGGCCCAGGACGCCCCAGGAGACGCCACGTGGCTGCCCTAGTGGCCCCTAAGCCTCCCTGAGGACTGAACAGGTTCAGGTCCCCGCGAAGGCAGAGCACAGCCTTCTGAAGAACGTAGACAGGGCCTATTTGGGAGAAGAGGTTTGTAACCAACGAGTAGACTGCAGCAACCAGGCATGTCACCTGGCTACCTACTGGCCAGCGGCCCGGAGGCAGCAGCTTTGTTTCATTTATTTGCTTGTTTGTTTATTTTCCAAATCAAAGACCCGGCACGACCCTGATGATTCGCTTTTAAAACTCTGAGAAATGACTGGCTGGCATCGGAGTACCCTAGAACTTCACTTCCTAAATGTGTTAGGTGTCTTGGAACCTCGCCACTGAGATGAAGAGAGGCCGGGAGCTAACCGAGCTGCCCCCTCTCCTTCTTGGCCTCAGGCAGTCAGCTCCCTGAACTAAAATCTCAGGCTAGGGAGGTGTGCGGAGTTCCAGACTCCCCTGACGGCGTTCGCTGGGGGCGCGTGCGGGAGGGTTCTGCGCCCTCCCTTCCTCCCCACACACACCGCGGGAGGTGCTGTGAGCCCAGTCATTCCCGGCGGGTCCCGCGACCCAGGAACTCGCAAGCTGGATCAAGGCTCTAAAGTTGGCAGAGTCCACTCTTCACCACCAGTCTTGGGCTTTGAAGAAGCCTGGAAAAACTTTACTTTGGACATCCTGCTATAGGCGTTTTTTTTTTCCCTTAAGTTGACTTTTTTTTTTTAAGATGAGCTCTAGTAGGTTTAGGAAGTGGGCCAAAAGTGAAAGAATATTTGATGTTTTAATTGACCCCCCCATAAAATGACAGCGCCCCCCCTTTAGGCACCGGCTTTTTGTGTACCATAAAAGCTATTACTAAACTGTCACTACCCATAGAAAATACCCTAGTCATGCTCGATGTTTCTGAAGAGCCAAGAGGGCGTTGGAGAATCACCGCGGGAAGGAACAAGGAAGCTCATTAGCACTGAAAGTCCCCCCGGATCAGGCCGAAGAAGCTAAGCATCCGTGTATTTTACAAATGGAACCAAGGTCCTGCTGCTGATGGGAACTTTGGACAAAAGAATGAGTTTCTGACGGTGGCTCTGAGAAATCTGTGCAAATCCACACATTTACAGATGCATTTACACAAACTGATGGGACCTGCAGTCACAGGGGCAGGCTGTAGTTGGGGAGGGCGCCTGCTCTGAGTTCCAGGTGGATTTAATTTCACTCTCATTCCATTCCTTACAATGTGACATTCCCCCCCTTTTGTTAAAAAAAGGAATTGTAATCCAATGCTTTTATCTTTTTTTTATTTCCTTAACTGCACATCTTCACCCTCTCCGGCTCCCCTGCTGATTTAAGAGATTTGTTTGGTTCAAGGATTTAACGTGATTCTGTTGCCAGATTTCAAGGAAGAAAGATTTAAAAGAACAAAGTGCGGGGCGGGGGGGGAGGTATCTGAAAGACAAGTTAAAACACATTTCTTAATATGAGATTAATAACATGCTTAAAACTTTGCCAAACAAGAATATTTTGCATTTTTAGTCATTTTTGAAAGATTTTATTTTGTTGTTACTTCAGGAAAACTAGTGGGTTCTACCTAGGGTAGGACACACACATTGTTGGGCACCCACACACTTAGATACAGACATGGCCACACTCATTTAGAAGCTCACACACATTCATACTCTCAGAAATAAACTCACACCATCCCACAACCTATCACCAACTCAATGCTTATCAATCACTTCAGTTGGTCCTTCTCCAATTAAAGTGATTGTGGGCAATCCACTACCCAGGGCCTCATAGGAGCCAAGAGGCTTTGCTTTGGGGAGAACTTCCCACCAATGTCCAGGACCCATTAGGGACCAAGCAAGCTCCTGGGGTGCTTGCTAGCCTGGCCCCTCCAGGTGGGAGATGGGACCAGGCACCGCCGCAGACCATCCCTGGCTTCAACCTGGCACCTCTCTAGCCGAGCAGATGCATTCCCGCGCCTGTGTTCATGCTCTCCCAGTTAACGCGCGCAGTTAGGGAGATGTCCCCTCCCCCTGACCTTTCCCTATCAGAAATCAGACGGTCGCCTCCAGCTCAGTCCCTAGGGCTGAGGAAGGGGGGCAGGAGGAGGAGCTGGGCAGAGGAGGACGGCCCGACTCGGGTGCGCCTGCCCTATCACACAGACATCTGTTCTCAGTCTCTTCCTCTTTATGATCGCTACATATGACAAGGGAAGTAGAGCGGACCGAGGCGGGGGGGAAAAAAAAGTTATGTCATAAAGATATAAAACGGTGCTGTGACTCACCTGCTCTTAGCCGCAGGTACGGGTTTCGTGGCAGCCTCTCCGCTCTGCTAGCCAGGAGCCCAAATAGGCCTAATGTCACTCGGCTAGGTTGACTCAGATGGCCGAGTTTCTAGTGAAGGGGCAAAACTGGGGCTTTCTCCTTTTTCAAGCCTGAAGTCCGGGGAGGGGGATGGTCTGTAGCTTCCAGTCTCCCAGGGTTGAACTTTGGGTCAGTAATCAGTACAGTGGGGGCTGGAAGCGGGCAGAAGAGCAGGAGGGGCACGGGATGGGGCTGCAGCCGGCGGCCCCCAGAAGCCGGTGGGTCCCCCTGGGGAGGGACTCTGGGGTCATTTAATTGGCCCGGCCCCGCGAGCCGGGGATCCAACGCCACGGCCCCCAGCCCTTCTCCGGCTGCGCGGTTCCTATCCAGAACCCTCGTAAGCTTGCCCGGCCCCGCCTATTTTTCTTTTTTCCTCTTCCAAAGGGGGTTACACCCCCCCATCCCATTTCCCTCTTCCCCCAGGCTCCGGGCTTAAACCAATTACGCTGCTTTGCAAACAAAGTGAGGGCTGGGTTTGAGGGAGGGGGCTCGGCGGGAGGGGGCGCAGGGGGCGCGCGGCGGCAGCGCTGCTGGGCGGGAGGCGCGGCGGCTGGACTGGCGGGCGGCCGCCTCGCAGGTGCACCTCGGGCTTTGTAGGTGCGAGCGTCTTTGTGAAGCGGACAAATGGGGAGAGGACGAGGAGGTGGGCACTCGAGCGACGTAAGATCCACATCAGCTCAACTGCACTCGTCTCGCAGAGGCCGCCCGCTCACTTCCCGCGGAGGCGCTCCCGGGCGCCGCGCTCCGCGGCCGCCGCCTGCCCCCGCCCGCCGCGCCGCCTCCGCCGCGCACGCCGCGCCCCGCAGCGCCTGGCTTCCTCCTCGCTAGGGTGGCGTTGGGCTGGCGCGGGCACTCGGGTGACTGCAGCTACTCGGCTCCCCGCCCCCCGCCCTGCGCCGCGCGGCCGCCCGTCGCTTCGCACGGGGCTGGATGGTTGCATCGGGCAGGGTGGCTCCAGGATGTTAGGGACTGTGAAGATGGAAGGGCATGAGAGCAGCGACTGGAACAGCTACTACGCGGACACACAGGAGGTGAGAGGCGGGCAGCAGGCAGGACGCTCCCGGAACCCGTGCCGGGGGAGGCCCAGAGAGGCGGGCGCCCGGAAGGGTGGGTGGTTGGCGGGCTGGGGGCGCCTCCTCCGTGCCATCGTTGCATGCCCACCCGAGGTGTTCCCGGACAGGCCTTGGCCCGGCCTTGGAGCCAGATCCGCTGCCCCGCGGGGGAGGCTGGGTCCCGGCGCTCGGCGCTTGGAGCGGCCAGAGGGTTTCAGGAAACTCTGGGCTTTGAAAGCACCCGCTCTGGAAAGCGCTCGCCTCTTCTCTGCGGAGAGCGGGAGCCGGAACCAGGCCCGGGGTGCCGCGGGTTGGCGGGCGGGCGCCGGCAAGAGTTGGAGGTTAACTCTAGGAAAGACAGAGTTCTCCAGCAGGGCGGCCTCTCCCTCCCAACGGTTGAACTCGCAGATGTCTTCAGATGAAAGCGCGCTGCAGTTAAGTTGCGTCTTAATAATGAATCGATTCCGAAATTTTATAAAACTTCTTTAAAAGCCCTGTTTGGGGAGAAGTGTGCTCATTCTACTCTAGAACCGCTGGGTGGCGCTGGTGCAAACTGACTTTTCCTCCAGCACCCCGAACTGAGAACCTGTTTCTCTTCATTGTCCCCTTGGTAGCACGTTCATGTGGTTTATTTTACAATGTGCACAAAGGGATTGTGAGGAAAACCAGGTACAGGCGGGACCACCACCTACTAAAAGTATTTCTCTGGAAACAGCTGGTAATTACCCCCCAAAAGTTCACCATTATTAAAAACGGTTATTGAAATCGCCTTCGATAATGTTGGGGAGAGGAAAAGACAAAAAAAAAAAAAACGAAAGTAAAAAATAATTTAAGACATGGAAAGAAAAATATAGAATCAGGAAATATTTTGATGGTAATTAATTTATTTAGATTTGTATATTTATATATTCACAAACTTAGCTTGAGTTTATTTGCATACCATAGCAGAGTGTGCCTAGTTAACTTTGTACACCTTTTATTTTTTCAAATGAAATTGTATCTGCTGATGAAAAAAATTCAAGGACATTATTTTTATTAAATTACCAGAGACGTTTTTATATTTCTGGACTCTGTTTTTAACATGTATAGTGCATTCCCAAATTGCTATTGGTAAGGGTTTCTCCTACTGATAATTTTAAAATGAGCTTAGAACTCTTCCTCGGGTTTAATTCAAATGCAGACATCTCGAACCACTAGTTAATGAAGTTCCCTATAGAAAGAACTTCCTTATAGATTAAAGCTGAGAATTGCAAAATAGAATAGCGTTAAAAGAAAATAAGTAGACTTTGATTTTAGAAATTTAAAGTGGGATTTTAAAGCCAAACTTTGAAATAATCCATGGCAACATATCAGTATGGGAAAACAAAATAGATTATTTTGACAAATTGTGTCACCAAAATTTTCAAATGTTATGGGGCTGGAAATAGGTAACGAAATTAGTGCAACTTTTTGAATGGTTTAAAGAGATGGTACATGTAAAGTCAAGTTAAAGTTAAGTGTAGTGCATTGATATTATGCACTCCCTCCTGCCCCCTCTCCTCTTGTATCTATTTTTAATTTTTTTCCAAAACTTACTTAACTTCTGAGTTTCTTTCCCTTTTAGTATTACAGTTGCTACAGGTCGATGGAAAACACTCCCTCTAAACATAATAACAAAAAGTCACCATTTGGGAAAAACTGCTAAGGCGGTAAAGCCAGTTGTTGAGAAATGGATGGTCATATGGCCATGAATGATTAGTTCTATCAAGAAGAGTTTAATTAACAGCCACCCCACACAGCCCAGGCTACTATGTGGTCAGCCCAGCCTGGCCGGCTTAGGCGAGATAGGCACAGAGCTGGTGTTCTGTTGTCCACCCCCGGGGGGGCTACGCCGCCGAACCCACCGCACCCCGTAAGGTGGGGTGAATAAGCAGAGCCAGAAAATAATTCTGTTTTCGGAGTTTAACTCCATTTAACCAAAAGGGCTTTGCTGAGGCCGGTATGGGGTGGAGACTGGGATACCAACTGGCGTGGATGCAGAAGGCGATGGAGGGGCCCTAGAAGTCGGCCCCTGAGCCTGGCATGTAAGGCGATTACACATCTTCCTGGGGACATATTTTCTGTGAGCGCTTGTCTTTCATGCCTGCCGCGCTAAGATTTTTCCCCTGCTGCGCAAGACATTTCTTTGCTCTTTCTGGGGAGGGCGCCTGACGGTTTGCCCCGGGTGGGGGGCCCTATGCTTTGCAGAAATGCTCTCTGCACGTCTCCGGGTTTGCCCCCGGCTCCCACTACTAACCGCGCCCTTCGGGGGCCTCTTCCCTCGCTGTCTCCGCTCCAGGCCTACTCCTCCGTCCCCGTCAGCAACATGAACTCGGGCCTGGGCTCTATGAACTCCATGAACACCTACATGACCATGAACACCATGACCACGAGCGGCAACATGACCCCAGCTTCGTTCAACATGTCCTACGCAAACCCGGGCCTGGGCGCCGGCCTGAGTCCGGGCGCCGTGGCTGGCATGCCGGGCGGCTCCGCGGGCGCCATGAACAGCATGACGGCGGCGGGCGTGACGGCCATGGGGACGACGCTGAGCCCGGGCGGCATGGGCGCCATGGGCGCGCAGCCCGCGGCCTCCATGAACGGCCTGGGCCCCTACGCGGCTGCCATGAACCCGTGCATGAGCCCCATGGCGTACGCGCCGTCCAACCTGGGCCGCAACCGGGCGGGGGGCGGCGGCGACGCCAAGACTTTCAAGCGCAGCTACCCGCACGCTAAGCCGCCCTACTCGTACATCTCGCTCATCACCATGGCCATCCAGCAGGCGCCCAGCAAGATGCTCACGCTAAGCGAGATCTACCAGTGGATCATGGACCTCTTCCCTTATTACCGGCAGAATCAGCAGCGGTGGCAGAACTCCATCCGGCACTCGCTCTCCTTCAACGACTGCTTCGTCAAAGTGGCGCGCTCCCCGGACAAGCCGGGCAAGGGCTCCTACTGGACGCTGCACCCGGACTCCGGCAACATGTTTGAGAACGGTTGTTACTTGCGCCGCCAGAAGCGCTTCAAGTGTGAGAAGCAGCCGGGGGCCGGGGGCGGAAGCGGGAGCGGGGGTGGCGGCGGCGGCGGCGCCAAGGGCGGTCCTGAGAGCCGCAAGGACCCCTCGAGTGCCGCCAACCCCACTGCCAACTCGCCCCTTCATCGGGGCGTGCACGGTAAGGCAGGCCAGCTAGAGGGCGCGCCGGCCCCTGGGCCGGCTGCCAGCCCCCAGACTCTGGACCACAGCGGGGCGACGGCGACAGGGGGCGCCTCGGAGTTGAAGACTCCATCCTCCTCGGCTGCGCCCCCGATCAGCTCCGGGCCCGGGGCACTGGTATCTGTGCCCCCCTCCCACCCGGCGCATGGCCTGGCCCCCCACGAGTCCCAGCTGCACCTGAAAGGAGACCCCCATTACTCTTTCAACCACCCCTTCTCCATCAACAACCTCATGTCCTCCTCGGAGCAGCAGCATAAGCTGGACTTCAAGGCATATGAGCAGGCACTACAGTACTCGCCCTATGGCGCTGCGTTGCCCGCCAGCCTGCCCCTCGGCAGCGCCTCGGTGGCCACCAGGAGCCCCATCGAGCCCTCAGCCCTGGAGCCGGCCTACTACCAAGGTGTGTATTCCAGACCCGTCCTAAACACTTCCTAGCTCCCTGGGACTGGGGGTTTGTCTGGCATGGCCATGCTGGTAGCAAGAGACAGAGAGAGACAGAGAGAGACAGAGAGAGAGAGAGAGAGAGAAATCCACACATACCAAGCCGACAACAGCATAATGAAATCCCAACTATTTTTATTTCATTTTTTGTGTGTGTGCACAATCTTTTCCCCAGTGCAAAGGACTGTTACTTTGTTATTGTATTCGAAATGCCTTGTGTATATTATTACAAAGAAAACCAGTCCCAAACCAACACGATTTTTTCCTGCAATGTTTAACAATCCACAAATGTATATATAAAATCCTCCTACTTCCTTATTCCTCTCCCTTGCTTCCCTCTTTCCCCTCCAGACACCGTTGTAGTCTGTGCAGGGTTTATTTAAAAAGAAAGAAAGAAAGAAATGGTCAAACTTGTAAAATATTTGTTTGTGCTTTCCCCCACCCCCTCACCTGACCCTCCACAAGTTTACAGGTCTGTGGCAATACTCTTAACCATAAGAACTGAAAGGGTGAAGAAACAAGTAGACACTAGGGGCTATTAAAAGTATTTGAAGGACAATACTGCTGTTATGCAGCAAAACATAAATTGATTATAAACATCAGAGCCATTATTCAGCTTCCATTTCTGATACATTCAGATAGCTGTCTTAAAATGAAATACACATATATTATGTACGATCTTATTTATGCACATGCTCAAATATGTAGACATCCTCCATATATTTGCATAACATGTAGAAATAATAGTTAGGTGATATACATGGTACATTTTCAAGAGTTGCCTGACCACGAAGTTACAAAGACACCCTCCTCCCTTGTCTTCTCCACTCACATATAGCCCTGAGAATCAGTTCCTCAAGAATTGCCATCCTCAATAACTCTGCTCTTTGCTTTGCAGAGTGCCATTGTCATGTCATTCTGAGGTCACATAACATGTACAAAATTAGCTTCTATGTATCTGTACCATTTAAATATTTTTTCCAGGAAAAAGGGAATATTACAATGTTGGAGGAGAGATAAGTTATAGGGAGTGGTATTTCAAAATTTGGTCCAAAATTCCAAAATCCAACTGATTGTGGCCATTTTAATTATTGCCATCGTGTGCTTGTTTCATTCAGTGTTAATGCACTTTTCACAGTTGGACATGGTGTTAGTATAGCCAGACGGGTTTCATTATTCTTCTTTGCTTTCTCAATGTTAATTTATTGCATGGTTTATTCCTTTTTTTTTCTTTATAGTTGAAATTGCTTTAAATGATGGTTAAAATTACAAATTAAAAATGTTAATTTTATCAATGTGATTGTAATTAAAATATTTTGATTTAAATAACGAAAATGATAAATTTTAAACCGTGGAATATGTTCTTGATCATTTGCAGTTAAGGACTTTAAATAAATCAAATGTTAACAAAAAAGTATATCTGTTATTTTCCTCAATTAAATCTAAAATAGGTCTTCTGAAAATGATATTTTCCAAAGTCCGGCACTGAATATAAATAACAAAAAGGGAAAATGATATAAAACAAAATTGTTTTGTTTATTATATGAACATGAAGCTAGTAAAAAACAGTTAAAGAAATTCAATAAAAATGGGTAGATAAATTGATTTAATATCCCAAGAATTGAGATTTTTAAGAGTATTTATTCCCAATAATGTTTAATTTTTGACATGAGCTTAAGCCTCCTCTGTTTCCTTTGAGTCTGTCCACAATGAAATCAAATTCATTAATATAACTACATTTCCCCCTGCCCCAATGTCTAATATTTCTTTATCTGAGAAGTATTCTAGTGAGAATAAAATATCAGATGTGGCTGATAAAATTAAGTTGTCTACAACGGAGAATCCTGAACTTTTTTTTTTTTTTTTTCATTGAAAGAGAAACAAAACTTAACCATCATGGTAGCTTTGGAGGGGGCCGGGGGAGTCGAGTTAAATCTCTCCTGCAGGGGAAGCTTTGTGCTACCAGGACATTTCGGGGTAGCTGCTATTTTGTATTTTGTGATGATACTTTTAAAAAATATTGTTTCTAAAAATACCATTCCTGAGAACTTAAAGCTGATGATTTGTTTGCCTTCTAAGAAGCCTTTAAATGCAACTTCACACCCCTACAGTTGCTTGAGATCACAAAATCATTAATCTCCTTTGATAGTAGGCTCACTTTCCAGTCCACCTATTTCTTTGTAAGTCTTGTTCGGATTGACATCAACAATAACAACACCAGCCCAAGCAGAGGCTAGCCTGCCTGAGCTCTTGTGTATGAACTCCATCCTCGCCGGGGCTTGAACTTGGACAGCCTTTACTTTGATCGCCCCACTCCGCAGTGCGGACAAGATAAAAAGAGCTGTGTGAGTCCCTTAATTATCGCGTAATTGCCTCCCCAGATGAGGGAAGGGGTGGCATGTAGCACTTGAGAAAAATCCAGAAATCCCATCCTTCCCCCCCCCCCACTTCAGCTAATGAAAGGAGGAGAGGGAAATAGCTGGTTTGAATAATTTCAAAATGTAATTTGGAGGCCTTTCGGAAGGACATTAAAGTCCCAAAGAGAGGAAAAAGCTTTCAATCTCAATAGTTATTTATATGTATATGGCGGGTAAACAAACGCGTTGGCAAATTTGAATTCCAAATGTAACTTCAGGCCGTGAGTTTGGGCCGAAGAATTTTACCAGCCCCACCGAGTCTAAATCGTCTAACTTTCGTGCGTTCCCTTCGGTGATGTTCCCTTCCCTCTCTAACATACGAGCACTATCAATGTCTTGCCTTCACCCACCAGGCTTAAGTGGGCCTCAGCTCTCGCTCTCTTACTTGGCAGAGACTTTTTCTGGGCTTGCGGGGGGCGAGGCGCCGCAGGCTGCTGGCAGAGGCCACTTTGGAAACCTGCCTGAGAAGCTAGCATGGTGGGTCGCGGGGAGCTGGTTTGGTGGGCTTCTCACGCGCTTTCCTGCCGCCTCTGAGCAGTAAAGCACCTCCCGGCACCTTGCGCGCGTTCTGCCGCGTCTGGGCGAGCTGCGCCACGCGCGTTGGGAAGGGCGCGCGGATTGGGGCCGCGGAGGGCGGTTGCCGGGGAAGAGGGACAGAGCAGGACCGCAGGCATCTCGGGGTGACAAGTGCAGTTAGTTCTTTATTGTTTGGGCATTTTCCCCTCCTAGCGAATAAATCTGTCGAGCCCGAGACCTAAAAGTCAACAAAGAAGGCCAGGCGTCGCTTTACCGCTCCTGCGGCCCCAACGCCCGCGTTGCCGCGGCTGCTCCCGCTGGGTAATCCCTTCCTCGGAAACCCGGACACACAAACGCGGGAACGCCCGGGGCTGGGGCGCCGCGCCCCGGGGCCAGGAGGAAAACATCTGTGGTTCCGAGGGAGCGCTGCGACGACCCTCCTCGAGCGCGCCGCCTTCCCTGATCCCCGCCCACCCCCGCTTTCTTCTCCGAATTTTTGTATTTCTTCACCTCGGACACTCGTTCCTGCCGACGAGGGCGGAAAGGGGATGCTGACCGCCGAGCCGCGGTCCACCCGGCTCGCTTGATGGAGGAATTTCCCTCGAGGTGGGGGAGGGGTCTCCGGATGGGGAGGGAGGGAGTGAGAAGAAAAAAACCTTCCTGCAGACCGTCTAGTGCAACGCTTCCGAGGCTCTCCGATCGAGTGACGACGCCACCACCGAGCACTTTGAGAGAAAAAAAAGAAAAATGTTTTGGGAGGGAATACAGTCCTGGGGAAGAGAACTTCAAATGTTAACTTTCACCTTGTTCCGGGCCTGACACGTTTTTTAAATTGATGAGAAGACAACTAAACACAGCTAGGGGGAAAGCTCACCAGAAACTACACAACTTAGAAGTGTTCCCAAGTAGAAGGCAGCTCGGTCTGTTTTCTACATGATGGCTATTACAGTGTTTACGTCACAGATAAAATTTAATCTCCATTGTCCCTTCGTGAACTCTTTATAGCAGAATAAACTGGTGAGCATTATTAAGGGAGGAGGGATTAAACAAACAAAATCCTATTAATGTTCTTAACTTCTGTTTTCATTTTCTGAAGCCTGGAATACTCGGCTGATTTCACTGAAAGTGTAAAAAGATATTACTTTTCTCAGGAGTCTAACAGATTCGAATGAGCCATAGCAGAAAAGAATTCGTGGAGTGATAAAATTTAAAAATCTTGTTGTTTTAGCACTTTAAAAATTGATCTCAATTTCATAAAAATGCTTATTAAGTTTCTTTGCAAAAATTTTCTGTGATCAATACAAATTCCTTTCAATGCAGACCAAAGTAGGAGACCTGTAGCCCAAATTAATTAACCTTTCCTCAAAATCAATTTGTTTTCTGTTGATTTAGCAGTAATATTGTAGAACATTTAGCTATAATGTATTTTAATGTGATACCTCAATATGTCAAGAGGAAACACTCATTGAAAAGATAAAATTGCTTAACTTATTTAATAGGTGTTTAATAAATTTCTAAAAATATTTTATTTTCAAAAATCAAATCTTAATTCCTTATTTGGGTTGTAGTAAAATGTGTTTTGCAACTAAATGGACTTAAGATAATGTCTAATTAGTTCAAGATAATTATGTGCAAAAGTTGATTATTTGTGAGCTACCTGGGGCTAAATAGGTCATTAAATTATGCTGAAATTTAGAAATAAGATTTTCTCAAACAGAATCACTAACATCAATAGAAACTCACGAGAGTAAGAATGTAATAAAATGAAACAACTTGGAAGATTTTACAACCTTCCCATTTGGAAATAGAATCTGGAGACATAAAAGGTTTTTGTTTTTGTTTTTGTTTTTAAAGCAGCCGTCTCTGCAAGTTTTATTTTCTACCACTGATCCTATTTGGTGTGTCCAAATAACATTTAATAACAGATTACTTTCAATGTTCTGGGTTTTTTTCTTCCAAATAGTTACGTTTAAGACCGTAATGGTTTCATTGGTGTTTCCCTTTTAGCTCCCAGTCTAGCTCGGTTCACTGAACTTTGGACAGCTCAGACTGCAGCCCTCACCTTCCCACTGCCCCCTCCAGTCATCATTCTAGCGAGCAATGTGGAGCTGGAAAATACCCATCCGTTTCAACTTTAATTTATAAAAGGAATGCATTTTCCTACTATAAACATTTTTAAAAAATCTGACAGGGGGGAAATCCTCACTTGCTATCTTTCTTTTTTCTAACTTCCTCATTTCTCCAATTATGTCAGCTGTGACTACACAGTGTAAGAGCAATGCTCACGGTGAGCATAAACTCCCCCTCTGTAGCCCCAGAAAGTGAGAAGCATCCCTCCTTCTAGATGCCACTTCATGATATTTTGGGATTCTCTATGTTCTAGTCAAGGTAGAGTACACAAGCAGATTATTCTCCCTCAAAATCTGGGGGGGGGGAAAGGGCTTAAATGGAATAGGTGCTTGAGGACCTCGGAATTCAGGTGGGATGCTGGTCAAGTCACATCAAGATCAAGTTCAGAACGGCCAACACTAGGGCAGGCCTGACTCAGAGTTCTAAGTGTGATGTTTCCCTGGGTTGACTTTCTACTTTCCTCAAGATTACATCAGGGGCTTTTTAAGAAAAAATCCCTGAAACCCAGAAAAGAAACCTGGAAATACAACCGCCCCCACCAAGCACTGCTTGGAAATAGGGAACAATGCATTCAATTGGAAATCTCTTTAGTTTCTTTCCCCGTTCTCCCATGAAATTTTAGTTACTCCTCTGCTTGTCTAATCATGTCCCAGGTCAGTTTTTTTTTTTCCCCCTCTCACACCAAAGAGCTGTTACTTTAAAACATAAGCAATTTAATGAGAAGAATGTAAGTGTTTTGTGGTGGTTTGTTTCATTTATATATTTAATTTTAAGGACCCATTATGCACGAGGGAGGAAGGAGGCTCCCATCTAGCGCTACACTCCCAGACAGCTGATTTTCTTTGCCTGATTCAGGTGACTGGTGCGTTTTTGGAACGTTCCCCTAGCTCTGGGTCCTACCTGGGAGCCTTGAGCTTCTTCACTCCCATAACCCAGCTACAAACGCCTAACCCAACATCAGCTCCCTGCAGAGCGCCAACTCCCACCGCGTCTTTCACCGATTTTGCCTAGGTGGAGGCCGATTCACGAGCTCGAACTGCAATGAGCCGTGTTGCTGTGCAGGGCACCGGCCAGGTTTCCTCACCTCTCCCTGGAGTCACACTGCCTTCTGCCGACACGCGCTTCCTTTTGTTATGCCTGGCTAATATATTAATGGGGCGGATAACCCGGATCCTTTGGTGGTTGGGGGGGGCGGGGGTTGGGTGAGTGGCGGGGGTTGGAGACCAGGAAGGGAAAAGAACAGCTCTAGTTGCTGACCGTTGGGCCAAAGACTTCAGAGGAGGGAGGCCTGGGGTTGGGGGGGGGGGGGGGGAAACGTCGTGGGATGCGTATCGAGGTGGGAAAAGTTCACGTTGAGGGCACGGAAAGTAAATTAAATGCGTGCAACAAGTTTTTGGAAAAGGTGATCTGATGCTAATGTTCTGTCCTGGGTTCAGAACTGCAAGGCGGGACGCGGCGCACGCCGGAGAAACTGCCCTGTTGGCCAAGTGGGCCGCGGGCGTGCTGCTGCCTACCCTCCGCTTATGCCCTCACCCCCGCCTGGAGCCCGGTCGCGCTGCGCGGGGGCTAGTCACAGGCGAAACATCTCAACTGCGTGTGGCACGGATGCCCCTCTCGGAGGGGTACGCCTTCTCAGACTCATCAAGCTCTAGCTCAGCCAGCCACCTTATTTGCTCGGTTCCAATAGTTTTAAAAAAAAATAAAGACTTCCAACCACGCTGGCTGGCTGCGCTCACGAGACCTCTGCCTTCCCCACCCTCACCTCT